ATCTCTCCACCCTTCAATTAGCCCTACATGTATTTATTGGCCAGGTTGGCACAATAAACTTTAATTATGTCAGCTCCCAATAAAATAATTAATTAAAAAATTAACCTGTGGAGTTACATAATTTCATGTCAATTTTATAAAGAAGTGTAGGGGTGGAGTCTAGCCTGTCAATCAGGCCACAGCCTGATGATGCTTCCTTGTGGGCATGGCCTTTTGATGAGGATTCTGGGAACTTTCTCTCCTTCCTGAAGGGGGGCACACAGTCTCTCTGCTTCACTTCCTGTGGGTGAGCCACATGGCTGAGACCAGCCAGAGCCTTGTGATGCTTCCTCTGCCGTTGGTCCCACAGGGCTCTGCACCCACTGGCTGTGACCTTCCTGCATTCTCCATCCTCGCACGTGGCTGCATGTGTCTGGAGAGGGAGTTATGGACGAGTATCAGTCTTAGGGACTTGATCTGGACCAGCTGGGATGTTTTCTCCATACCCAATTACTTCTTGATATACAGTTCTTTCTTACCCATATGAGAGTGTCACAATTTGTTTCTCTAGTCAACCTGGCCTCACACACACCCCAAATGGCCCTCAACTGGGAAATGGATAAACCTGCACTGACACATTCCCACACCCAACACTCCTCTCAGGGACAGAGAGGGAACTGCTGATGTGAGCAAGGGCACACGTGCCTCTTGGATGCAGCGCTCCGAGCAAAAGCAGCCACAGCTCCGTACCATGGGAAGCTCTCCCCGTGGCATTCTTGCCAAAGCCAACAACAGGGGAGAAAGCCCCTCTGTGGTGGTTATGGACTGGTGGGCGGGACCGGGAGGGGCTGGTATAGAGGAGAGGTGACCGAGAAAGAATACAAGCAGGGAGAAAGTCAACGTGAAGTAGAAAACAACACAAAAAGAACTCAACAGAGCAAACTGATGAAACAAAATAACTAAAAAATTAAGGCAATAAAGAAATCTTTGGCAAGACTGGAAAGATTAAAAAAAGACAACCCCATGATTGAATTTTCTGAAGCAAATGAAGAGGGCGGGCGGGCACTCTGTAGGCATCCGGTCACCTGCTTGCTGAGCCCTGGAGAGGCTGAGTGGATTCCAGAACTTCCTTTGACTGAAGATAGGGGTGAGGACTCACAGGACGGGCGTAAGAGAAGAAGGCTCACAGAGCGGAAAGCAGGGTGGTGGGCAGGCAGAACCATCCGGGCCTGACGATGGGAGGGGACCATAGGAACCTGACTGTGCAGAAGGCCCTGGGGGGGGATGGGGTTTCTTCAGTGTGTCCTGGGAAGGGAGGGGCCAGTACCACATGCTGACACTGTGACTCAGCCTGAGTCCAGACACCAGCCCTGGGCATGGGGCCCAATGCAAGCAAGCACCTGTCTCTTGCCAATGCCCTTCTCTCAGGGCTGGTCTTATTCCAGCCTACAGTGACCCGAGGGGCCACTCAGGAGCACTGCCATGGGCTGGGGAGGAGCAAAGGGCAGCCCCACAGAGCCAGACCTCAGCTTGGCTCCTGACAGAATGCCCGAGTGGCCCCTCCACTCAGGAGCATCCAGAGCATCTCTCCTGTGGGGGGCTGGGGGCCTGTGGCCAGCAGAGGCTAGGGCTCGGGGGCAGCCTGAACTGGGGGGCAGGACTGAGCCAGGAGGACTCCAGCGAGCCTCCCTGAGGAGCCCCCATGGCACAGAGGAGCCTGGCTACTCAGGTCTCCCTGACCGGGGCCCAAGCCCTCTTACCTCAAAAGTCTCTCTCAGGTTCCTGCATCCCCTCTCTGGATGGCACAGGACCTGAAACCCCTTAGCTCCTCCCAGCCCCCAGCAGGATGGTCCCCTGACCCACCCTATTGGTTTCTCTGCCCAGCCATGTCAAGTCTCCCTACTCCTGCCCGGCACTTCCCCTGAAGCCTGCCTGCTCCCAGGATGCCCGGGTGGCCCCAGCCCTGGGGCACCACACACTGGGGCAGCCTCAGAAGGGCCTCCTGGACTGCACCTGCGTCAGGCCCTTGGCTCTGTCACAGTTCCCTTGAAAGCAGGCGCAGGTGAGGGCCAGCAGGCCGAGGAAGCAGGCGGGCAGCGCGACTGTGGCCATGCTGCTTCGGTGCTGCTCAGCCACTCTGCTGCGCTGCCTTGGCTTCCTGCCTATTTATGGGCACAGGTGTCCCTCAGAGGCCACCTGGCCTGGCCAGCTACCGGCCCCGCCTCCATGCCTCCCCAGGATCCCTAGACGACCAGCTCCCAAGGCATCGGTGGTGACTCAGGCATCTGAGGACTAAAGTGGCCCTTCTGTGCCAGGCCCAGGGCGAGGAGTGGGGTGGGGTGGGGTGCAGGCCCCCCGGGCTGTCACAGTCAGTGGTGTCACAGGGGCTGCTGAGCTGTGGCTGTGGCTTTTCAGTCTTGGGGAGAGGAGCAATCTAGACACCCCTAAACTAGTGTTCAAGTTTTCTGGATGTCCAGAAACGGCAGCAATCAATACATACTACCCCTTTCCCAGCTCCCACAGGGAGCACCCACTCAGGGTGGCCGAGACCGAGCACCCAGGCAGGGAGTTGCTCCTGCAGCCCACCAGAGCCAGGGACAGGCAGACTGGGGTCTATTTCCCACTCGGGGCCCTCAGGTGTGGGAAGGGCAGGCAGGAAGCAGCCCCCGCCTCTTGGTCTAGGCCCTCACCCAGCCCTGGGGCTGCTGTGCCTCTCTCAGGGGCACCCAGGGTGGGCAGTGAAGCTCCCAGGGCAGGCACACACCCCATAGCAGAGTCCAAGGACTTGGGCCCTGAGACTGGGGGCAGCTCCCTGGGACAGTCCCTCCATCTCTCCCAGTCAGCGACAGGGAGGGGAAGAGAAACCCAGGCTCAGGGTGGTTCAAAGTAGAGGGGAGTCCTACCGCCATGCACCCCCGTTTGTGGACATCAGGGCCTGTGTCCTCTTGGGCCTGGCCTGGGGGCCCTGGAGCCAAGGTTGGGGGACAGAGCCTCAGGAGCAGTTTTTGATTCCAGACTCAACACCCAGGGCCACACCAGCTGGCAGCTCTGAAGGAGCCTCTGCTCCCTCCCCTGGGGCCACCATGTGTCTCTCTGAGCTTGGACCCAGGAGAGTCACCCCAAGCCTCTCGGGCTGGACACCCACCCTCCCCTGTGGGCTGCTGTCTTGTCTCTGAGAGGTGCCAGGATGTGCAGGGAAGCTCTGGAGATAAAGAAGGTTGCTCCTCCCCGCCAGTACAGTGAGGGGTTCAGTGCCAGGAGGGGGCCCTTAGATGCTCCCTACCCTTCCCCACTCAGGACCTGACACCACGCCTCTCAGGACTGTCCCCTGAGGGACTGTGAGGACCATCTGAGAGGCAGCGCTGAGCAGTGGTTCTTGAGGGCCACCAGAGCCCAGTGGCCTGGGTCTGAATCTGACTTCTGGGGCTACAAAGAAGGAAGGGAGCTAAGATCTGAGTAGTTTATAGTTTTTAATGCACCGATTTTACACATCTTTTGTATGGTTTCTACCGAAATATTCCACGCGGGTGTGTTAGTGTAAGTGGGACTGCCGGAACAGACGCTCACAAGCTGAGTGGTTGAAGACGTCCTCTCACGTTCAGGCCAGTCCCCTGGCAGTCCTCCTATGTCCCCTCCAGTTACTGCAGCAAAAAGACTTGCAGCTCCATGGGTAGTGTGCGCTGTTTGCCGTCATTTACATAAACCGCATCTTTAGTATTGGGTTTTGTTTGTCTACACTCCTGATAACCTGGGGCGTTTTCCTTGCTCTATAACACTGCGGGGTGGAAGACAGCCTCAAAACTAAGAATGATAAACCGTCTAGACAGCGATCTGCTCCTGTCTCACGTAGTCCTGCCGTGCTGGTTGACCGTTGGCATGTGTTAGAGGATGGGGGCCTTTTGCTGGGGAGAAGGATTCGACTTTTACCTGGTTCCCAAAAGGGTCTCTGGCCCCAGAATGAGTGAGAAGTACAGGTTCAGGGGTTCTCTGGGTCTGTGTCCTTTGATGTTCATGGTCATGTCTGAGGCCCCGGGCCTCTTTCAGGTTCCCCTCTCCCAGACATGCTGTTTCCTCCCCAGGCAGGGGTGGGATCAGACTCCCGCCGGCTTACAGCACCTCTCTAGCAAGTCAATGGGGGCTGGTTATGGAATCCCTTAAGTCAGCCTCCTTGGGTTCCTTCCTGGGGCTGAGTGTCTCCCTCCCTGGAAATACACTGTTCCTTCACCTGACCTCCC